CTTGTCCCCCAAACTTGTTCAATGACCTGGCCAAAATCAAAGAACAACAATTTATGCATTAACCTAGGCCATAAAGAGAAAAAGAAAAAAATTAAAAGAAAATCTGAACTATAAAAGAAAAATAAAAGAAATTTTTATGCTTGGGTTGCCTCCTAAGAAGCGCTTAATTTAAAGTCATTAGCTAGACTTTCTACCACTCCAAGGTGGTTTTGGATCAGGTTGTAGGGCATGTTCTCTCATTTTCTTGAATCTTGGCTTTTTTGCCCTTAAGTTGAATCCACCATAAGATTTTCTCCATGTACTATTTTGTGGTGGTTTGGGTTTAGGCCAGTAGATGTGCCTTCCCAATTCTTTTAGGAGTGCCCCCTTTGATTCCAAGGAAGATGATGTGTTCAAACAATTTATGTATTCTTTGATTGGGTCCTTTGCTTGAATAAGGTAAATCTCAAATGAATCCTCGTAAGTGTTTTTCTGCAAATCTCATCAACCATATCAATAACAAAATAATCATTAAAATCAGATTTGGTTAAAGGAGACTCCCCATTGAACACTTCAAATGACCCTTGAGCTTTTTCCTCTTCCTCCTTAGGGACATCCTCTTGTTTAGTTTCTGCAGGCATAATTTCTACTTCTCCAAGTTGTCTTTCAATCTCTAAGGGTAAGGTGTTTACCTCTTCTTCTTGATTTTTCATTTTTGCACTAGGTAACTCACCTTGTATATTTTCAGCAACTAAGTTGAGCAAATGACTTGATTGAGTTTCTAAGTTTTTATCCAAACATAACTCCTCTTCTTGAGCTTGAAACCTTGATTGTGGCTCCAATATATCTTCATCATTCCATGAGGTGTTTGGATCAACATTGCATGTATGGGGATAAGAATTATACTGTTGGCTATGAAAATCACCAGAAAAATCAACACACTTGTTAGATCATTTAAAATAGCAATCAGAACTAAAATGGTCACATCCACACCATTGACAAGTGATATTTAATCATTCTACTATAGCCTTCTTTAATTTGATCCTTTCAATGACTGCTTGAAATCGTTTAAGTTCATCATCGTCAATTTCTGCTAGCAAGATAGTTACTGCTTCAACTTGTGCCCTCATCTCCGGCGCAAGCCATTGATAATCCACATCAATGTTTAAGACAACTCGATCCATAGTTAGACCTACAAAAACAAAAACAAAAGAAACGAAAAAAAAAATCAAAGTAAAGAAATAAAAAAAAAAGAAAAAAAAAAAGAAGAAAACGTTCAAATTAAATCTAGAATTAACCAACTTCGATATTTAATTAAATCAACAATCCTCGGCAACGGCGCCAAAAACTTGATGCACTAAAATCACTCTAGCAAGTGTACTAGTCGCTTCAAGTAATATAATGATGAGAAAAGTGTCAAACCCACGATGATTGTGTCTAACTAAGTACCAAAATAATTAATCTAAATTTATTTGAACTATCGAAAAGATGGAATTTTAATTAAAATAACAAAAAGAAACTAACAATTAAAATAAAACTACTCAAGATATGAGGTACTAAGGCATTGACTTCACCATAATCAATCAATATAAATTCTGGATTACCAAATTGTTGAATGTTATTGCATGTGATGGTGGATTTCCCTAAATTAATTAACCAGCTTTCTCAAGTCAAGCTAATCCTTCACTTGTTTGTTAAATTAATCATATCTCTATGTAATTTTAAACAAACTTATTAGCATTAAATTCTATGGAAACCTCTGACTTAAGAAGGGGGAGCTACTAACTCTCTTCTCTTCCTCCACTACCACATGTAAGCTAATTACGTCTCGGTCTCATAGTCTAGCACACGGTTTATATTATTATTGGTCTAATCTACGCAATTCTTTCTCAAGTTAATGCATAAATCACTAAATCAATTGAAAGATGATCAGGCTTCCAATGCATTAGATTCAATAATATAAACTCCTCATGCGAATAACTTTAATTGAAAGCATAAAATCACAAAATCTATATTGAATTGATTAGGTTACATCGTAGTCCTAATAGAATAAATCAGTTCATAATAAAAATAATAAAATCTAAAATCACAATTATGAACATAAGAATGTCTAAGTAAAAACAAAATCTAATTTGAGGTAATTGAAATTCTTGATTTTCTTGTTGATGAATCTTTTATCTTGACCTCCAAGAGTGCCCAAAAGAGGGCTGCCACCAGCCTCTCCAAAACTCCCTTAATTGTGAATTTGGATGGGTATTTATAGGATTTTAGAAACCCTAATTGAAATAGAAATAGGACTTGGAACATAAATAGGAAAGTGAATTTTGGATGTTGATCGCGTGGTGCTACCACTTCGGATTACGTGTTGACACAAAATAAGAAACAGAATTTGATTCTGGACTTTTAACGCATGGTGTCGACACCCCGATCATGTGTCGACACTACACCCGTGTCGGGTTTCTGGTCTCCTTTCACAATTTCTTCAATGGTAAAATTGCAGATTTGGTTCTTGACTTCTAGATTCTGCACAAGTTGATCCTCAGGTCTTTGATCTCTTCAATTTACTTCTAAAAGTATGATTTCTTCTAATTAAATCCTTTCATACACAAAGAATGAAAACTATGTAAAATCAAACAAAATCTCATAAAACTCATCCAAATATCAATAACATCAAAATAAAAAGTTCCTATTAATATATATATAAATTTAGCTCATCAGTAAGCCATGATCATTGAGCAAAATCTCAATCCTAGAACCTCAGATATATTGATACCTGTGCAAAGAGATATACGTAATTGACATTTACAATAGCTTGTATGGGTAAACATTGTCAATGACAGACATGAAATTGTCTTTAACATATTGTCTGAGTCATTTTCACTCCCATGTAAGAAACATTCTCATAATTTTACCGTGTTCACCCTATCTCAACAAGATCTATGTTTTATCAAAAAAAAAAAAGATTATATGCTGATGATGGCCTACAGGTTGCTGAGCTGCTGGAAAACGGGGAGCTTGATGGAGTGATAAGAGGATGCATCAAGCATGTGGGGACTATACTTGAGGGAACCCATGTGAAGCTAGGATGCATGCTGGGCCTTCGAGTCTCTCATAGACATTGGTATACTCTCCCTTACTCTTTCTCTAACTTGAATATGAGGTTGCATTTATGTTTTAAAACTCTTTTATTCCTCTGGCTAGACAAAACCATATGTTTGCCAAAACAAAATGGTGCTGGAATAATCTAGAGCAAACTTGATGATACTGTTACCATCTCCTGAAAATAAAACAATGAATTGAAGATACTATTGAACCATCTTCGATCCTTGCACAATGAAGAGAATGAAATCCTTCTTTTTTTTCTCTTTGTAGGCGAATGGGGATTGGTTTGGAACTTGGGAGATCAATAGAAGAGTGATTGATACACAATGGAGCAGCTATACTTTCTTAGAAACTGAGAAGAACAATGTGGCTTCTACATGTCTTCTCCATTAGATGCAACTACGTGAATTTAAGCTCTTTAGTCATATTTGTTCAACCAAGCTGTTGGTTTAAAATTCAATGTTGTGCCTAGTCTCTTGCTTTCTTCATAATTTTGAAATTATATGGACTTCACCCCAATGTTGAATGCGAGTGTCCTAAATAATTCAACATTTGCCCATCCATGAGATCAAACTTTTATGCTCAACAATAATTGTTATCAAAGATGGAGCTTGACAAGTGAGGAATGGGAGCCAATAGTGGCAATGGAGTATGAATTTGGCAAAGGCTAGTGGTAGGAAGGCAAAGATTGGCAGAATAAGTTTGTCGGTGGGAGGCAAATCGTAGAGACATATATCTCCCCTAAGCTAAAACTGCTATGGTTGTAGTAGGGCTTTCAGTGAGTAGGGATTATTGATACTTCAAATACCCGCTCTCGACTTGCATGATAGACGGGTGATCTAGGAGCTTATAAGACTCATCATGGTGATCTAGGAGCTTATAAGACTCATCATGGTGACCTTACTACATTTGTAGTTCTGTTAATGTCTCTCATTACAATTGGTTTTACAATTTCTAGTTATAGTTAGGTCCTCTTCACTCTAAGTGATATATTTGTTCTGAATGCAAATTCTCTATAATTAGTGCTATAGGGTAACTTCTTTTAGGCTCCCTACAAATCTAATGCATGTTGCTACGTCATTAATGGAATACTCTTTAGATTTCTGATTTAAAAAAAGGGCTAAATTTTTCTTAGGGGGTCAATTGACAAAAAAGAGTTTTTTGGAAGGCAAATTAATAAAAATACCCTTACTAAGTTCTTATTGTACTAATTTTCAAAATTTTTGTGGCATGCTCCCCCTAATATATAACTAAGTGGTGGCCCATTAAATGTTTTGACACTATCTAAAAATTGAAAGATTAGTCTAGTAATTTCATGGGTCTTAACATATATAAGCTACTATTTCTTTTCATATTTCTTCTATGTGGGATTACCGTTCTTCATACTTACAAGAGAACAACTTATTTTAACAGCCACCTTTTCACTTGTAAGTTGTGAAAGTATCCCTTGTGAGAATTCAATTTTTTTCTTCATTTTTAAAATACATGCATACATGATCCAAGCCTCCAAGGGTATACTCATCATGGGTTACATTAGATACACTCTCACTTGTTAAGCCCAACCCAAGATCAAAATATCACTGGCTAGAATGCCATTAGCTTTGAGACCACTTTGTAGAAATAAAGATGCAATACAAGTGAAAATGAACATGAATTCAAGATTTAACTTGCAATGATATAAACATGAACTTAAGATTGACAGAACATGTACTGAGCTTATCTTATATAACTCAGCAAACATTAACATACATGCCAATTTCAATGAAAACAGAAACTTATAGATGACAATTTCTAAAACATAAGGAAGTTAAGATCTTGTAAAACCAATTGCTACACCACTATTTGTGGTTTACAAAATTACATAAAGATAACCTTAACTACTAATACTTAAGTGTCATAACGATCTTGAACTTGGTCACAAATGCTTCAACAAACACTATCATGGGTTTATAATACATACAATCTCACTTGCTAAGCCTGGCCTAAGATTAATTACCATTCATAGGGCTTCTCTAAGTCATTAGCTCTAATACCACTTGTTGTTGTTGGGAGATAAGCAAGCCTAGTGGGGAGATATTTAATGACTTATCACATGTTTTAACACTATCTTGAAACAAAAACAAGTTTAATAGTTTTCTGAATGTTGACATATTTAAGCCTTTCTTTTCATATTTATTCTATATGGGACGTTTGTTCTTCACGCTTGCAAGGGAATAACTTCTACATATTCAGATGGGAATGGAAACGCATTTTCAACTCTCTCAGCAAGGCATCTACCTCCAGCTTTTAGCTAAGCAAGGAAGATATTCTAGGATTTATATCCTCTCTATTCAATTTTTTACCTATGTGATTTTACTTTGATGCGATGCGTGAACTCATTGGAATTGCTTGCCTATACTATAATTATAGCAAAAATGGTTTATATGCTTCTACATTTTTCAACTTTTTTAAAATACTGCTTGTACTTTTTTCTAATTTATTAGGTTGTCTCCCGTGAAACCACACCTCTTATTTTTTTGGTTAGGGCACCCTAAATATTGAACACTTATATCATCATTCCTCTTTGCTTGTATCAACAGACTTCACAATTTTACATTTCTCTGTCAACAAATTTTAGTAGAGTAATGACATCAAAAAACAGAATCATGATGCTTGCAGACTAATTTATTAAATTTAAAACAATTTTATTCAACCTAAAAGAATAAGCTGTCATTTAAATTTTTTTTTCTTTTTCAAAAAAAAGTTACTAGGAGTGATTTTAGTAGATTCGAAAATTGCAAAAGACTAATATACCTTTTTGCTTCTTTTGGAGGAAATCCAGATTGACAAGTTAATCACCTTGAAATATTCTTATCCTCCATGCCAAAGCATGCAACCCTATAAAAACTTAATTTGTATTTAATTACAGCATCAAAGGGTTCACACTCTCAGGTTCTGAGTATTGTTCTTGTCATTTGGTTCTTATTTTTCATCCTTGAATCATTTCACCAAATAGATGGCTTGTTATAATATTATTAAAGTAGGAGCTGCTGGATCTATTTCTTGTCAAGATGAATGTTGGGATGAAAAGTGTCATTGTGAACTCTCCGAAATTTACATTTCCCATGGAGATGGTATTCAATCCATTCAATTTCAGTATGTTGTGAACGGAAATTTAGAGATGTCTGACCTACATGGAGAATGCAAAGGTCCAAAATTCAATCTGGTATGGTCTCTCAGCCTTTCTTTGCATTGAGGTTGTTTAATATTACATAAAAAAAGCTAAGTATTGGCATTGCTATTTGCTGTGTTTCAAAGCAGATAAGGCTCAACTATCCATGTGAGTTTGTCACTGGTATAAGTGGTGACTGCTTGCCTAATCAGAAACTCAGTTCTCTGAAAATTACTACCAATAAACGAAGCTACGGACCCTTTGGACGCCCTACATTTGCTCATCAATTTGATTTTCAGTTTGGAAATTCAAGGCAGTTTGGGGGGTTTTATGGCTACTGCGATAAAACTACCAACAAACGCGTGACAGCTCTTGGAGTCTACTTTAAGGTCGCCACTAAACTGGAGGTCACTACCGGGGACTGCATATCAGTGGTCACTACCAGGGACTGCATACCAGTGGAAAGAAGTTGCAGGGAGGATGATTCATGTACATGCAATGATCCATGTACAGGAAGAAGAAGAAGGAATTAATGTATGAAGCATAAAGTTCAAAATATGTTATGTATCCATTTATGTTTTTCAGATGCCAATCTATTGTAATCAAATATTCATATTAATAAGCTTCAGTTAATTCATAACCTATTCTTCTCATCTAGGATAATGAATCTTACATAGACCATGGTCATAACTCATAAAGCAAAATCTCAGTTCTAGAACCTCATATATATGGATACCTGTTCAGAGAAATAAATGTAATATTAATTGACATTTACAACAGCTTTTACCATTGACATACAAGAAATGTCTTCAACATATTGTCTGTGTCATTTTCACTCCCATATATGAAACATTCTCATGATTTTACCATGTTCACCCGTTCCAACAACATCTGTGTTTTATCAAAAAAAAAAATTTTAGAAATGATTCTATGTTCTCCCAGGATGCTTAGAAGGCCAGACCACTAATATGCTGATTGTTGAAGTACGTTGTTCCCTTATGAGTGTGAAGAACAAGAGTCCCACAAGAAAAAAATAAGAGAATGATGAGTGGCTTAAATATGTGGACTAGTCTTTCAATTTTTTAATAATGTCGAAACATGTAATGAGTCACCAAATGTCTCCTTGCTAGGCTTGATATCGGCTTCCATGTGAAGCTGGGATGTGTGCTGGTCTTTCGAATCTCTCCTAGACATCGCTATACTCTCCCTTACTCTTTCTCTAACTTGAACATGAGGTTGCTCTTACGTTTTAAAACACGTTTGCTTGCATCAACAAACTTTATAATTTTGTTTTGCATTTATTTGTCAAAAAATTTTAGTGAGGTAATGACGTTAATATATGGAATCATGATACTTGCTAACTAATTTATTAGATTTCAAACAATTTCATTCAACTAAAAGTAGGAGTGGCCATTTAAATTAGAAAAGAAAACAAAAAGGTTATAAGGAGTTGATTTCAATAAATTCGTAAATTGCAAAAGGCTAATATACCTTTTCTGCCTAGAATTTTTCAGTTTGCTTTCTTTTGGAGGGAATCAAGATTGACAAGTTAATCACCTTAAAATATTCTTATCCTCCTTGCCAACATCAAGGGGTTTATATTCTTAGTTGCTGAGTGTTGCTCTTGTTATTTGGTTCTTATTTTTCATCCTTGAATCCTTTCTCCGAAAACATGGCCGATGAAGAAATTATTAAAGTAGGAGCTGCAGGATGCTTTTCTTGTCAAGATGAATATTGGGATGAAAAGGGCAATCCAAGCTCTATGAAATGTATCCCAAGGGTAATCCAAACTCTATGAAATATACGTTTCTCGTGGAGATTGGATTCAATCCATTCAATTTCAGTATGTTGTGAAGGGAACTTTGGTGATGTCTTAGGTACATGGAATGTGCGAAGGTCCAAAATTCAATCTGGTCTGGTCTCTCAGCCTGTCTTTGTACGTATTGAGGTTGTTTCATATTACAAAAAAAAAAAAAAAAAAAAAGATTCCATGTTTTTCCAGGATGCTTAGAAGGCCGGACCGCTAATATACCGATCGTGCCTACAGGTAGCTCAG